AAGTAACTTTGTTGCAGCATCATCTGATCCGTATCCACTCAAAATCTAATTTAAAAATGTATTTAATTATTTTATTTAATTAGAAATATATTAAAATATAAATTAAATATGATATAAACTTTATATATGAAATATATAGCTGTGGAAGGTGCAATCCACTCTCTGGCGTGTATTCCAGCATCAATCCAAATAATTGGTTTGTTCGCACGAGGATTAGAAGTTAACTAGAGAGAAAAGCATTTGATCTTCATCTTTATAAACCGTATTTAATCTTCATATTAAACGTATAAACAATACTTTTCACAAATTTAATTTATATGACCATTTAATTACTTACTTTGATTAGTTTCAGCTTCTTTTTGCGATAAGTCTTACACAAAGTTTCGATTTGTATTTTTGAACCAAATTCACGTGCAATGTCATGTAAATATTTATAAATCTAAAAACATTAATCATTTTTATGAAGTAAATATACCCTACTCTTACTGAAATAATCAGATATATTATCAAATGTCTATGATTTAATACTCATTACTTACGTCTTTCGATTTATGATATTTATCAAAAAAACTAAGTAAGGATTTTTTCGAAAGAAATGATTCGGATTTGTTTAAGAATTCATTCTCTTCATCGATCAATCTATAATTAATACAATTATCAATGTGCTTATTAACACATACACATTATTTATATTTAATGTATTAAGTCTTATAAGTTTCTATTTTATCATCACTTTTCCGGCTTATTTTGTAGCAGAGGGAAAGATTTTTACATTTTTGGACCTTCAGAGGACCTTGAAACATCGAGAAATGCAAAAAGTTGGGTTTTTTTCTTATATATAAATGATTGTGACGATTTTTTCACCCACTTTAAAGCTCAATAACTTCTGTGCCTTTTGTCGAAAATTTCTTAGATTTTGCAGAGAAGTTTGTACATTAAGGAATAATAATTCTGAATATTTTCAGGAAAATCGGACCATTTGTGTGGGAGATATTAAAGAAGTAAAGGCCACATAAACATCCAAATTATGAAATTTTTTACTCGTACAAAATTTTAAATTTAACAAATAAAAACTCGTCTCTACCCATAGCCTTTTGCCTTTTATTATAATTAATAATATTAAAATTATTAATAGATAGATCCACGCATAATTTTTAAATTTTTCGCCGGGAAAGTTACGCAACTCGTTGCTGGAAATTTTTTAACTACAATTTCAATAATAATTAACCGCAATATATTATATTAGTTCATGTAGATCTTAAAACAGCCTTTATTGTAAATGGAAATAATTTCTTACTCACTTCTGTACATCGTCAGTAAGCAGATGAAAATCTATATTGTTTGCAATCAAACTGTGATTAAACTGTTGGAATTTATGAGGAGGAATCATTATATCTACTGGTTTTCCTATCATTCTAGGATCAGTCCAAAAGTCGAACTGAAATAAATTATTAGACTTTTTTATAGGAATTGTATTAAGATAAATTAAACAATTTGAAAAAACAATTATACTTCTTTTTCATTGTAAAAATCTCCAAGAAACTTTATATGCTCTTCTTTGGATGGTACAATACGAAGTACAGAATATCTGAAAAACTTTAATTATATTAACTGAGTTTAATAGGGAAAAAAGCAGATTAATTATATACCTACTTGTCATATCTTTTTGGGGGAATATCGATATCATCATCATCATCATCATCAGTATTTTCGTAACTAATCGCAAAAACGAAAGAAGCAAAGAGTACTATAAAGAAAATTATCTTATTTTCCATTATCAAACGTAAAATATAGGTTAATATTGAAGTGTAACTAAATTTATATTTATTTTTATTATAATCACGGTGACATACCTTTTATTCTGTTATTTTTAGTGATTTTGAAAATATTGAGTGATCTTTATAATGATGATTAAGAATAATAGAACATTTTTTTGTTTATACGAGAGCGGTTTTTCAACCTCCGATAGTCCATAAAACATAGACAAGTGAATTGAGATGGCTTAAACAACTTTGTTTTAAAGATCATCATTACTTCATTAGTCTCAAACTTCTGTCCTGCTAGCCACGTTTTCAGTTCAGGAAAGAGGTGGAAGTTTTCACACATTAAAAAGTTTTAAACTGGGTAGAAGTCTGAAAAACGGAAGTCTTCACCACCCTCCCAGCGTATAGCCACGATTTAGGGCCGAGCGACTTCTTCCTCTTTCCTAAACTGAAAACGTGGCTAGGAGGGTAGAGGTTCGAGACTAATGACGATCTTCAAAACAACGTTAAGGTTCATTTCAAGTCACTGGCGGCAACATTCTATGAAGAGGGGATTGAAAAACTCGTCCACGGATATGACAAATGTCTCAATCTTCACGGTGATTATGTCGAAAAGTAACCATGTTTGTACCTAACTTTTGTTAATAAACTCATTTTGTTATTTACACTTGTCTGTGTTTTATGGATCATCGGAGGTTGAAAAAAACGCCTACGTATATTTAAAAATAACAATATTTCTTTTTAATACTTGCTTATTATTAANGTGTGAAGACTTCCACCTCTTTCCTGAACTGAAAACATGGCTAGAAGGGCAAAGGTTTAAGACTGATGATGAACTTCAAAACATCATTAAGGCCCATTTCAAGTCATTGGCGGCAACATTTTATGAAGAGGGAATTGCAAAGCTTGTCCACAAATATGACAAATGCCTCAATCTTCAAGGTGATTATGTCGAAAAGTAACCATTTTGTACCTAACTTTTGATAATACATTCATTTCGTTATTTCTTAATGTTTGGTAATACATTCATTTCGTTATTTACATTTGTCTTTGTTTTATGGACCTTGGAGGTNTGTGTACGATTTTATAGTGTTATTACTTACTTCTTCCGAATTGTGATATTTTCTAAAAAAGTCAAGTAAGGATCTTTCCTGATGTTCTGGTTCAGGGCTGTTTAAGAATTTATTCTCTTCGTCGATTAATCTGTAATTAATATATATATATACCAGTATATACACACATACGAAGGTCACTTACTAAGTCATGGCAACAGTTTTTGTGCAGGCAAATGCATTGTTACATAAACATTTCAATACACACATATGAAAAGACATAATGTACTCTACCAATAATGTGTGTTAGATGGGTTATTCGGGAACTTGTCATTTCATTTATTGCATATACCTTATAATATTGATGCATATTGCTTGGTCAATACTTGTTTATGTCTCCAACTCCTGCAGAGACCATCGTCTGTTGTTCTCTAAACATTGGATGATGACAGCACAAGCTACACTAATACGAACAGTCCTAGTGCGTTCAGTACGAGGCATGACAATTGCCATTGACTCTTCCAATACTCTTCCACGTTCGAAACCTTACAACAGTTTTGTACGGGAGAGCATGATCACCGAAAGCTTCTACGAGCTGTGCATGACATTTTCTCGTGTTTTGCATTTCTCTGTTCCATACTCACATCCATACTGAACGACGGTAGAAAACCTTTGCGCTCCGCACCATCTAGCAGTGTCGTTGTGTAACAATACATCTCAATGTCACTACATCGAAAAATGTGGATCGTGGCATAGGATTCCGCAGAAGAAAATGTTGCCACGACTTAGTAAATGACTCACGTATATATTAAACCAGTATTATTACTGAATATGTTTTTTTTATAATTGTTAAATTGAATATTTTTAAAATTATCATTAATATTATATTAATTACATTATATCTTAAAGTTAAAGCATTCGATTAATAATTAAAATTATTCCTTTCTCACCTCTGTACATCATTAGTAAGCAGAGAAAAATCAACTTTATTTGCAATGAAACTTTGATTAAACTCTTGAAATTTGTTAGGAGGAATCATTAAATCTACTGGTTTTCGTACCATTCTGGGCTGAGTCCAAAAATCTACCTAAAATTAAAACAGTTTTTATGAAAATTATATTAAACTTTAAACTAGATTAAGTTACTTGAGAAAAAATGATTTTACTTTTTCTTCATTATAAAGATCTTGAAGGAATCTCAGAGTTTTTTCATTGTATGGTGTGACACGAAGTACAGAATATCTAGCAATAAGTTATTGGTTATATTAATATGTTATAAAATGAGAGATAAGAAAACAAATTATATAGTTTACCCATCATATCTTTTTGGAGGACCATCATCATCGTTATTGCTATCATCGCTGTTAATTCCAACAGCAAAGGAAAAAACTAATACTATTAATACCAGTGTAATCGGTTTCTTCTGCATTATAATATTCTAGAGCATAAACTTATAACAGATCTATAAGTTCGTATTTATATTAAAATACAAAATTTTTGTCATCATGATTACGTAAAATAATATAACATAATTACGTTTTAAAATGTTTACGATAACCGTTTTTAATATATGCCCGTAATAAATCATATCATACTGTTTCAAGAAATTTGATTTTTTTTAAATGAATTTGATGCGTTTATTTTTTATTGATTCCATTTAGTACTGTGCACTGAGGAAAATACTCCGAAATATACAAAACATACAAGATGAATATTCTGTCGAATCATCCGTACAACAATCTTATTTTTCGTTTAGATAGACGTCAACGTTTGAATTTTAAATAATTGTTATTAGGACGATTATAACTGCAATCATCATCAAAGAATAAAAAATAAATAAAAGTTTAGGAAATCAATTCAGTCAAATCTCGGGTTTCGAACAACTTAATTCGTTCTTAAAAGTTGTTCGTAAACCGATTTGCTCTAAAACCGAAACAAATTTTCCCACAATATAAAATTGATTAATCCGTCTCCGACCCCCGAAACAAAACCTTTTGTTTTTTTTACCTTTTTAGCTGTATTTCATGCATAAAAACGCCTACAAATGCAGTATAATATAATATTATATATATATTCTATTTTTCTTCTTTAGCTTCGCCTTTTCCCATGTTTATATGAGGTCAGCGTTTCCATGTTTATATGGGCTCTAATATGTTTTTTTTTTCCATTTCTTCCTATCAAGGGTTTCTTCTCTCTTAAGTCCCCTCTGGTTCAAGTCTTCTTCCACCTTATCTTTCCAACACATCTTTGGTCTTCCTCTTTTTCTCTTTCCTTTTACTACCAGTTTTCCGATTTTCTTTCCAATATAATTATCACTTCTTCGCTCTACGTGGCCAAATCACCTAGTCTTTCGACTAGTCTTTCTCCTAGATCGACTAGTCTTTCTCCCTCTCCATTCTTTTCTCTCATATTCCACCTTCCAAGAATTCTTCTTTCCGCATTCTTCCTCCTCCTAACATGACCATTTAAATCGCCATTGTAGATTAATCTCTTGTTTATAAAAACACACATTATAACTTGGTCAAGATCTGTCCAAAAGTTTGTCTTTTCTTCTTCTCCACTGCCTGGCTGAGGTGCATACACACACACACAATCGTAATGAAAATTCCACCAACGTCCATAATTCCATTACACCTTCGCTTAACCTCACAAAACTCTGTCTTTTAAAAATTTATCAATTACGATACCAACTCCATTCCTTTCTCCCTTATTCACTCCATTCACAAACAGCTTAGACCCTTCACCAAGTTCTTTAACTTTATTTCCTTTCCATCTTGTCTCTTGCAGGCAGAAAATGTTCACTCTCCTTCTTTGCATAAGATCCACCACTCTCTACTCTTCCCATTCAGTGTTCCGATGTTTAAAGTATCTATTCTTATACTTGTCTTTTTCCTCGGACTAACTTCTTTATTTGAACCCGTCCTTGGTTCGGTAGCCCCAGCTCATTTGACATAGCTTTCGGGCGACATGACTGCGCATCGCTTCGGGGGGACGTCCTAACACAGTTATAACTTACTTGTAGTCTAGCAGACATTCCGTGTAGTTTTGACATAGGTTTTAAGGCCGGATGCCCTTCCTGACGCCAACCCTATTTGTTATAAGACTATATATATATATATATACAGGTATCCCTCGTATAACACGGTAGTTGTATTCCGAAAAAGTGTCGTGTTATGCGTATCGTTATGCGAAAATGTCAGGCACAGAGTTGCTATAACAGCAAAAATATACAACAGCAAGATGGAGAAACAAGATATTTCACAAGAAAAGTGGAAAAATCGGAAAGAAAATTGTTCCGCTTACATTAAATTCGTAATATAATTTTGGATGATTTTATGTAAATATTGCTAATAAACTGAATATTGAGTTATTTGTTATATTTATTTATTTAACTTTTATTGTTCTAACACGAACAGTTTTATTTAAAAAATCATATCTAACTTTTGTTTTCTTGCCCATTTCTATCAGTTAAAGATATTATCTTTCTTTAAAGATTATTTTTTCCCTTTCGATTTCTATGCTATCAATATATATTCCAACAATGGAAACTATGACTTATTTATGGAATTTCGGTGTTATAGAGTAAGCCAGTGGGTGATAAACTTTTTATAATGTTTTAACGCAGTGTAATATACAGGTATACCTCGCCTTACGTCGGTAATTGGTTCCAGGAGAACGACGTAAGCCGAATTTACTTGTCTCCGAATCTACTTGTCACTAGGCTAAACTATAAATTACCATTCCCGGTTCTGTATTTTATTTATTAATGCATTTTTAATAATATATGGTTAATAAAAATCTATTTTAAGCTTACAAACAAATAAATTTTAGTTTTTAATATAGTACAGAAAAAAGTATTCTAAATTTACGAATGCATGTACTGTAAATACAGAACATACTCGTATATATTTTAATATGATTTTATGTGCTTTAAACGTTTTTCTAGTGATATTACGACTTCAATATTTGTGGCG